GAAATATTGCCTGGCACGGGGCTGGATGGGAAAATACTGAAATATTGCCTGGCACGGGGCTGGATATCGCTCCGAAGAGGGACTCTGGGGAATGGCAGATTCCCTCTGACAAGGGATTTGTGGGAGCGCTGCGCTCGGCTCAGGGGATACAGCCGGGATTCAAAGGCAGCCCTGGGTGAGCTGGGCCGGGGCCCGGGATTAGCTCCGATGATCCCAAATTCCATTTATCCCCGGGGAATAAGGCAGGGATGAGATGCCTGGGATGAGCCCCAGGCGCAGGGGAGCCCATCCTGCGATTTCCATTTCCCTTCATCCTCTCCTGCCCAGTCCTGCGGAATCGGGGGCTCCTTGAAAGGACCAGAGCGAGGCTTTTCCTCCGCTTATCCCAATCCCAAATTCCCCTGGCCCAGGCTCAGGCCAGGGACAGATATCCCTGAGCCCATAAGCCCTTTGTACGGGGAAGAGAGGATCCTTTATCCGGCAGGCCTGAAGAAAAGAGAGCTTTGCACCCCCAGGAAGGGCAGATTCCCATTTTCCCGACGCTTTTAATCATGTGAGGGCCGAGATATCGGTGTGGAAATTCGTCTCTTCCCTTTGTGTGAGCCTAACCCAGGTTATTTCCTGACTGCTTTATATTCCCTGATCAAAAATTCCTGCCTTTCCAAGCCCGCTGCTGTTCCTAGTGGAAGGAGATGACAAATTCTCCTGGATTTGCCCTGTTTTAGGGAAGTTTTGGGGGGGTTATGGGGTGCTCTGTGTAATTTATGAATTGAGCCGAGCACAGTGGTTCTGTTCTCTGTGGCATTCCAGGGAGATTTCAGGAAAATTCCACCCTCAGCTGCCCCAGGTTCCTCTGCAGGGAAAGAGAGGGGGTGCAGGGGTGGGGAAAAAAGAGGGAGCTCAGGAGATGGGAAAGAAAGAGGGGGTTCAGGAGAGGAGAAACAGGGAGCTCAGGAGCAGGGAAAAAGGGGGTTCAGGAGGTTGGAAAGAGGGAGCTCGGGGTGGGAAAGGAGATTCAGGAGAGGGGGAAAAGGGAACTCAGGGGGTGGGAAAGAAAGAGGGGTTTCAGGAGATGGGAAAGGAAGAGGGGGTTCAGGAGAGGAGAAACAGGGAGTTCAGGAGTGGGGAAAGAGGGGGTTCAGGAAGGGGGGAAAGAGGGGGTTCAAGAGGTTGGAAAGAGGGACCTCAGGGGGTGGGAAAAAGGGGGTTCAGGGTAGGAAAGAAAGAGGGAGCTTAGGAGGGGGAAAGAGGGAGTTCAGGGGATGGGAAAGAAAGGGGGATTCAGGGGGTGGGAAGGAAAGAGGGAGATGGCAAAGAAAGAGGGGGTTCAGGAGATGGGAAAGGAAGAGGGGGTTCAGGAGAGGAGAAACAGGGTGTTCAGGAGTGGGGAAAAAGGGGGTTCAGGAGTGGGGAAAGAGGGGGTTCAGGAGGTTGGAAAGAGGGAGCTCAGGGGGTGGGAAAGGGGATTCAGGAAGGTGGGAAAGAGGAGGCTCAGAGAATGGGAAAGAGGGAGCTCAGGAGGGGGGAAAGAAAGAGAAGGTTCAGGGGTGGGAAAGAAAGAGGGGGTTCAGGAGGTGGAAAAGAGGGGATTCAGGAAGGGGGGAAAGAGGGGGTTCAGGGGTGGGAAAAAAACAGGGAGCTCAGGAGCAGGGAAAGAAAGAAGGAACTCAGGAAGGGGGAAAGGAAGAGGGGGTTCGGGAGAGGAGAAATAAGGAGTTCAGGAGCGGGGGAAAAGGGGGTTCAGGAGGTTGGAAAGAGGGAGCTCGGGGTGGGAAAGGAGATTCAGGAAAGGGGGGAAAGGGAACTCAGGGGGTGGGAAAGAAAGAGGGAGCTTAGGAGGGGGGAAAGAAGGGGTTCAGGAGGTTGGAAAGAGGAAGCTCAGGGGGTGGGAAAGGGGGTTCAGGAAGGGGGAAAGAGGGGGTTCAGGAGGAGGAAAAGAAAGAGGGGGTTCAGGAAAGGGGAAGCAGGGGCCTCAGGAGCGTGGAAAGAGGGGGTTCAGGGGTTGAAAAGAGGGGGTTCAGGCGTGGGAAAGAAAGAGGGGGTTCAGGGTATGGAAAAGAGGGAGCTCAGGGGGTGGGAAAGGGGGTTCGGGAGAAGGGAAAACCCCACTGGGAGCTGAGGGTGATGGTGCTTTGTCTCTGGCCGGGTTTCTCGTTCCCCGTGGTGGCAGCAGCAGCAGCAGGAGATCTCTTGGCACTTCACACAAGGAGAAGGGGCCGGGAGCTCCCAGCTCCTGCTCCCTCTCCGGTTACCCCGGGATTGGCTGTCCCGGCCGGAATCCACGGGCTGTGCTGGCAGCTGGAGGCCAGGAGGAGAAACACGGCATTCCCGTTCCCAGAGAAAAAAATGGGGATTTGGGCATTCCCGTTCCCAGAGAAAAAAATGGGCATTTGGGCATTCCCGTTCCCAGAGAAAAAAATGGGGATTTGGGATGGCCACTGTGGTGTTCCTGTTCCCAAAGAGAAAACAGGGATTTGGATGTTTCCATTCCCAAAGAGAAAATGGGGATTTGGGATGGCCACTGTGGTGTTCCTGTTCCCAAAGAGAAAACAGGGATTTGGATGTTTCCATTCCCAGAGAGAAAACAGGGATTTGGATGTTTCCATTCCCAAAGAGAAAACAGGGATTTGGATGTTTCCATTCCCAAAGAGAAAACAGGGATTTGGATGTTTCCATTCCCAGAGAGAAAATGGGGGTTTGGAATGGCTACTGTGGTGTTCCTGTTCCCAAAGAGAAAATGGGAATTCAGGATGGTCATTGTGGTGTTCCTGTTCCCAAACAGAAGATGGGGATTTGGGCATT